TTTTTTCTCAGATTTTACCTTCTCTATTAAAATGCTGTCAGCGTGTTGCAATGCTGCGCTCATGAGGTGCTAACGCTGAAATTTCCATAAAACCTAAATCAAAGAGCAAAATATGAGTTTGGGGACACATATTGCACGGCTACGGCAAATAATATATATATATATATATATATTATTGTAGATAGTGTCTTATAAGGGTAATCTTCGCCGGATGACAGTCAGGGCGCGAATCTTAACTTTGATTCCTAGCGCTTCCGTTCCACCAAACATTTTGAGTACATGGACGCCCTCCACTTGGGTTTTCTGGGTAATGGATATGTATAAGTATACGTATATGTATGTGTATCTGTGCAGGAAGCGTGTGAGAAAAATGATTAAAGAAGCATGACGGGTCAAGATTTCCCCCCTCTAAACCTCCTGGATAAAAAATTTTCGGATCATTTCCACTGTATTCTACAAATCTTTGAAAAAAAACCATGATTAGTTATACGATCCTTATTGAAAGTATTACTGTTGAATATTGTTCAACTGTGTACCGTTTTGCAGGCCGGTGAAGCAATGTGTCAGTTCAGAAAAACCGTGATAGAAAGAAACCAAGAGAAACTATTTTTTCCCAGTTTTTTTTTTCTTTTTTAAACCATTATTTTGTTTACAAAACTTTAAACCGTTTTAAAGATTTATTTTTTTTTCGGAACAATTATTTTTCTCCATGATTATCTCGTGCATACTCGTCATTAGCATATTTTCAATCACATTTCGAGATCTATAGCTGTTCTCTCATTTATACTGGGTTAAGCCGCACTTTTCGCATTCAATCATTTTAGCCACCTTCTTCGTAAATTACCTTCACTTCCAGGCAACCACTTAATTCAATGCCATTTATTTGCTTCTTGTGACAGTGATATTTTTCTAAGGGCTGGAGTAAACTTAGTACAAATACAAACTTTCCGTTGCACCAATTGAGTCTTTACTAATCAGCTGACCTCGGATGCAGTATTCAAAATCTACTGATGAAAACACATTTAGAATACTTTCTTTTATAAAACCCGGTTTATACAATACAGAACATCTTGAGACCTTTTGAAAAGCATGAGCGATTCAAAGACGGCGCACACGGTGAACACGAAGGCGGAAACGACGACGTCTATATCCAATTCCATTGTCACCTCCAGTCTAAAAAATTCATGATTTACTAGTCAGAAGGGATCAAGGTTTGAAGGGAATAACGACTCACTCCTGGAGCAACACCACCGTTGCCGCCAGGTGCAGGTCCTGGTCCTGGAGCTGGTCCAGGTCCAGGAGCTGGTCCAGGTCCGGGTGCGGGTACTGGGGCGATGCCGTTTCCGTAACTGCCAGGTGCAGGTCCTGGCCCTGGAGCTGGTCCGGGTCCAGGGATGGGTCCTGGTCCTGGAGCGGGTACAGGTTCAGGAACAGGAATCAGTACAGGTCCAGGAGCAGGCGCAGGTGGTGGTGGTGGTGGTGGAGGAGGAGGAGGAGCCGGAGGAGATCCTCCATTAGTTCCGCCATTTCCACCATCCGAGTTGTATGCTTGTTGATCTCCACCGTCAGCACTTGCTGGTTGTGCTGGTGCAGGCTGTATTACCTCAGCTGCCTCATAGCCGGAGTTTTGGGATTGCCCTTGAGCAAATGTAGCGCCTACGGCGAGGAGAAATATCACGGTACGCATCTGTAATAAAAAATGACCTACAGAGTTTATGGTGCTTTTGCTCTATTTCAACTTTTCTGGTTACACAGAAGTGCCGAACTACGCTTGTTCAAGTTTAGTTCTTTGGAGGCGCTGTCTCCAAAAGCTTTCCCTACGCGGTAATGTCTTACTTTAAAATGATAGTGTGCGACAATTGTTTTTCAGCACTTAAGATGTGCATAGTGGGCTATACGCTATGCAGTCAAGATTATGGCATTGTGTTGAAGAGGAGTCTGCTATCTAGACGCCGCAACTTTGTAAA